GGAGGCAGCTTGGAGGCACTACGACAGTCAGCTCTACAAGGCAGCTCAGCCAGTTGTGCAGGAAGACCTTCCAGTGAGAGACAGAGACTTGGTTTGTCAACAGGAAGCAAACAGTGCTGACTTTCAGTGACCAGATTCCTGTCTGGCTGAAGCCTCCTCCAGGCAAGATGCTGGTCAGCACAGTGAGACAGGAGCGGGCCCTGCAGCAGAGGGTCAGAAAGCGAGCCAGGAAGAAGCAGGCAGAGCAGTTGAAGGAGGAAGCAGCTGGAGAAGCAGCAGAGCAACAGATGGTTGCAGCAGAAGAGGAGCTTGGAGAGCCAGAGCAGCCTGTTGAGACAGCAGCCAGAAGTCCAGGGCAGGCGCCTAGATGGCGAGTTTCTTTTGTCGCCAGGCAGGCGGTAGAAGAATACTTTCAGCCAGACAAGAAGCCAGTGGGTCGAGTGATGCCTTCCATTTTGCTGGTCTATGGCAGCCACTGCAGATTGGAAAACATCAGCGAGTCAGGGCACTGGCTGGAGACAGAGCAATATGAATACCAGGGTCAAACAGTGCGCAGAGAGGCAGGACAGAAGGTTTCAGGTGTGCTCATGCGTCAGTGGAGACAGCTGAGACAGGAAAGGCCAGAGCTTTTCCAAGGAGACGAAGTGTTGGTCTGGAGTCAGCCCAGTGCAGTTGTTGACTCAGTCATATACGCTTTCCAGCAGGCACTGGAAGCCAAGGAGCACAGACAGGCTGTAGACCTCATAGATGCCTTTGTAGGAGGATGGACTGAGGCAGGCAGCGAGGCAGCCTTCATAACACAGAGACTCAGATGCTGTGTGGGGGCAGGCACAACAGGCCTCACACAGCTCACAGACATAGCGCTTGCTCAGCCAGCCAAAGCAGCCCTTAGCAGATACCACAATGACCTGAGGGACATGCTCAGAGAGAAAGCCAGACAGGAAGGTGTTACACCAACCTACAAGACAGGTCTTGCAGAGATCCTCGAGGCAGCCAGAGTGATGCACCAGAGGATGCAGCAGCTCAATGAAACCAGCGAGACAGTCTTAAGGGGAGCGAGAAGTGGAGGCTGGCTCCACTACAGGCCAGACGAGGCAGGCGACCTGCAGCCAGTCAGTGCACAGCCATGGGCAAAGGACTTTCCAGAAGGCAACAGCAAGATGGCTCCACACATGCTCTCAGACAGAGCAAAGTATGTGAAGTCAGGCAAGCCAGTGCCTTTCACAGAGGAAGAGAAGGGCCAGCAGCCACAGCCAGAGTATGAAGGCTCTTACCTGTTCTCCAGCCAGCATGGAGTGCAGACAGGCTTTTTCGTTGACATGCCAGCGGATTTTGCGATGAGCCAGGCAGAACAGCTGGCAGTGGAAGAGTTGCTGCAGCATCCAACAGTGAGGCAGGGAGACAGCTGATTAATTACTGACTTCACCTATTTCATCTTAGCTCCAGGCAGGTTCTCCCTAATACTAAGCACCAGACCGACCTTAATACTAAAAACTACTTCACCTCCTTCCATTTCCCTTTCTAAAGTCTTTACTAAAACTTCTGCTTCTGTGCTGCCAGGCTAGCTCCAGGCAGGTTCTCCCTAATACTAAGCACCAGACCTTAATACTAAAAACTACTTCACCTCCTTCCATTTCCCAAGCTAAAGTCCTTACTAAAACTGCTGCTTCTGTGCTGCCAGCCTAGCTCCAGGCAGGTTCTCCCTAATACTAAGCACCAGACCTTAATACTAAAAACTACTTCACCTCCTTCCATTTCCCTTTCTAAAGACTTTACTAAAACTGCTGCTTCTGTGCTGCCAGGCTAGCTCCAGGCAGGTTCTCCCTGATAGTAAGCACCAGACCTTAATACTAAAAACTACTTCACTCCCTTCCATTTCCCTTTCTAAAGTCTTTACTAAAACTGCTGCTTCTGTGCTGCCAGCCTAGCTCCAGGCAGGTTCTCCCTAATACTAAGCACCAGACCTTAATACTAAAAACTACTTCTCCTCCTTCCATTTCCCTTTCTAAAGTCTTTACTAAAACTGCTGCTTCTGTGCTGCCAGCCTAGCTCCAGGCAGGTTCTCCCTAATACTAAGCACCAGACCTTAATACTAAAAACTACTTCGCCTCCTTCCATTTCCCTTTCTAAAGTCTTTACTAAAACTTCTGCTTCTGTGCTGCCAGGCTAGCTCCAGGCAGGTTCTCCCTAATACTAAGCACCAGACCTTAATACTAAAAACTACTTCACCCCCTTCCATTTCCCTTTCTAAAGTCCTTACTAAAACTGCTGCTTCTGTGCTGCCAGCCTAGCTCCAGGCAGGTTCTCCCTAATACTAAGCACCAGACCTTAATACTAAAAACTACTTCCCCTCCTTCCATTTCCCTTTCTAAAGTCCTTACTAAAACTGCTGCTTCTGTGCTGCCAGGCTAGCTCCAGGCAGGTTCTCCCTAATACTAAGCCCCAGACCTCAATACTAAAAACTACTTCACCTCCTTCCATTTCCCTTTCTAAAGTCCTTACTAAAACTGCTGCTTCTGTGCTGCCAGGCTAGCTCCAGGCAGGTTCTCCCTAATACTAAGCACCAGACCTTAATACTAAAAACTACTTCACCTCCTTCCATTTCCCTTTCTAAAGTCCTTACTAAAACTGCTGCTTCTGTGTTGCCAGGCTAGCTCCAGGCAGGTTCTCCCTAATACTAAGCACCAGACCTCAATACTAAAAACTACTTCACCTCCTTCCATTTCCCTTTCTAAAGTCCTTACTAAAACTGCTGCTTCTGTGCTGCCAAGCTTGCTCCAGGCAGGTTCTCCCTAATAGTAAGCACCAGACCTTAATACTAAAAACTACTTCACCAGCTGGCATTTCCCTTTCTAAAGTCCTTACTAAAACTGCGGCTTCTGTGCTGCCAAGCTAGCTCCAGGCAGGTTCTCCCTAATAGTAAGCACCAGACCTTAATACTAAAAACTACTTCACCTCCTTCCATTTCCCTTTCTAAAGTCTTTACTAAAACTGCTGCTTCTGTGCTGCCAGCCTAGCTCCAGGCAGGTTTTCTCCCTAATACAAAGCACCAGACCTTAATACTAAAAACTACTTCACCCCCTTCCATTTCCCGTTCTAAAGTCTTTACTAAAACTTCTGCTTCTGTGCTGCCAGGCTAGCTCCAGGCAGGTTCTCCCTAATACTAAGCACCAGACCTTAATACTAAAAACTACTTCACCTCCTTCCATTTCCCTTTCTAAAGACTTTACTAAAACTGCTGCTTCTGTGCTGCCAGCCTAGCTCCAGGCAGGTTCTCCCTAATACTAAGCACCAGACCTTAATACTAAAAACTACTTCACCTCCTTCCATTTCCCTTTCTAAAGTCCTTACTAAAACTGCTGCTTCTGTGCTGCCAGGCTAGCTCCAGGCAGGTTCTCCCTAATACTAAGCACCAGACCTTAATACTAAAAACTACTTCACCTCCTTCCATTTCCCTTTCTAAAGTCCTTACTAAAACTGCTGCTTCTGTGCTGCCAGGCTAGCTCCAGGCAGGTTCTCCCTAATACTAAGCACCAGACCTTAATACTAAAAACTACTTCACCTCCTTGCATTTCCCTTTCTAAAGTCTTTACTAAAACTTCTGCTTCTGTGCTGCCAGGCTAGCTCCAGGCAGGTTCTCCCTAATACTAAGCACCAGACCTTAATACTAAAAACTACTTCACCTCCTTGCATTTCCCTTTCTAAAGTCCTTATCTTCTAGGTTCCAATCTTTGAAGAAACCACTCCATGGCTAATTAGTTACACCTTCTGCCAGGCCAAGCACTCCATGGATGCATGCAGTCAGCCAAGTAGCCTCGCAGAAGAGAAAGGATAAAGCCAGAGGAAGGAAGAAAGGAAAGAAGGCCAAGAAAGAGCTTGTTGAGAAGTGGAGGCAGAAAGCGGGCTCCAAAGCACAGAGGCAGGCATTGGAGCAAGTCAGACCAGTCAGCAGCAAGACAGCAGGCAAAAAGTTGAAGCCCAGTGCCAAGCTCAAGTACAGTCACTTGCAGAAAAGGAAGAAAAAGCAGAGCAAGAAGACAGCAGCAATCAAGACAGCAGAGGCAGCAGAGAAAGCAGAGGAAGAGGAGTCAGAGTGGAATGGTGCCATAGGCAGAGTTGTTGGAGAGACAGCAAAGGCAGCCTGGCAAGGCTTGGTCGTGACAGTGGAGAAAGCAAAGGGCAGCCAGCTCCTCTGCCAGATACCGAGCAAGGGCAGCCAGTGGATTTGCAAGGCAGATCTAGAATGCCCTTTGCTGCCAAAGACAGCCAGGCAGACAATGGCTCCACAGCAGCTCAAGGATGCAGCCAGGCAGTCTTTGCAGGCAGATTGGATGCAGCAAGTGGATCTCTACCAGTTCGGCCAGCTGGTGACAGATGATCAGCTCTTGGCAGGCTGGAGAGAGATTAGCAGCAGACTGAAGCCAGGCAGTGCAGTGCGATGGGTAACCCCAGCTCAAAGCAAGCTAGCAGCAGAGACAGGTGCAGTTTGCAAAGCCATGGAAGACTTCCTGGCAGACAGCAAGACTTTGCTGCTGGTACCAATCCACAGCTCAGCTCCACAGCACTGGACACTGCTTTCTTTGAGCAAGGCAGGCAGCAGCAAAGAAGAACAGCCAGAGGTCCAGTACTTCGACACACTCAAGATGCAGCCAGAAACAGCCAAAGCAGCAGCTAGCACAGTGCTGCAAGTCTGTTTTCAGACAGAGACAGAGCTGCCAGTGCCATGCAACCGTTTCCACCAGTCAGACGGTTTCAGTTGTGGCCTCTGGTGCCTTCAGTACATGGAAAGACAAGCCAGAGAGTTCCTAGGATGTAGTCAGTCCACATGGCAGACAGTTGGGGAGCTGAGCCAGAAGCTTCAGTCCTGGCAAGAAGCAGTGCTGAAGCAGAAGTCTTTAGACAAGGCAGCAAAGGCTTTGGAGGCCAAGAAAGCAGCAGAGAAGCAGCCAGAAGCTGAGCTGCCTCCTTGCCTCCTCCAGAGCAGCCTCCTCCAGACAGCAGCAAGGCAGAAGAAGCAGGGAAGACGAAAAAAAAGGGCAAGGTGGCACAGACCAAGCTGCAGCTAGGCTGGGACGAGCAGTTTGGTTGCAGCAAGTGCAAGTATAGCAAGACAGGCTGTTTGGCTTGCAACCCAGCCAAGATGCTGCGCTGGGCAGAGAAGCAGGCAGGCAAAGGAACAAAAGAGGCAGAGAAGAAAAGTAAGTGAGGCAGTCACAGTGGCAGAAAAGAAAGTCAGAACACGGCCAGAAAGAGGAGCCAAGAGTGCACCTCAAGCGAGACAGAGCCTTCCAATTTTTTTTGCTATCTCAGAAAGGCCAGACAGTCTATTCATGTGATCTCCCTAATTGGAAGGCTCTGTGCCACAGCACAGTCAGCCATTGTCATAGGCATGGTCCAAACCCAGCTCAGACAGTGCAGGCACTCAGCATAGCCTTTTGCAGGAGCTGTCCAGCAGCCAGCGAAGTGGAGCATCCAACCTTCATTTGCCATTGATAGATAGATACATGAATTAGATAGCAAATTAGAGAGATAGGTCTATGGATAGATAGATAATTAGAAAGATATAGACATTGAGATATTGGATATTCTACTATAGCAGCAAGTGCTGTGAGCTTTTGGCACACAGCTTGAGGGGTGAGTTTCCGCGAGCCAGCGTGCCAGATTGAAAAAGCCATCCATCTTTCACTAGGTAGCCAGTGATTTACAGCCAGGCAAGTCAGATCTCCAATCATCAGGCAGCGATTAGCACAACAGGTAGCTGTTTTAGCATTTTTTTTTGGTGGAACCAGTTGTGCAGCCAAGGCACAGCAGACGCAGCTCTTGCAGGCAGCTTTGGCAGCCTTGCAAGACATACAGACAGAAATGCACCTGCTGGGGAAGAAGGTGTGTTGTATGGAGCTGCGACAAGCAGCTAGGCAGCAATATTCTCACTCCTACAGACAGCAAAGAATTTAGAACCCCCAGTAAATCCATTTTTACTTTCATCCCATTAGTTATACACATATCTCCTCCTACATCCACCTCCTATTTTAATTAATTACTTGACATTGACAAATAAATAAATAAAAAAAACAAATATATATATATATACACCAACACAAACCCCTCCATCTTTATCTCGACAGCACTCTCCCAGGACAGCTGGCTGTCTATGCAGGCAGACGTAGACAGGCACAAAGAGCAGACAGAGAGTTGGCAGGACTGGATGGCAGTCGTGAAAGGCAGCTGGATCAGTAAAGCCAGACAGGCAGGTCCTCCTTTCAGCTGGTTGATGCTTTGCTGCCGAGACAGCTAGACAGCCAGAGGAGCAAAGAGACAGAGGGGCAGGCTGGAATCTTGAATAATTAGTAAAGTAATTTCTTAATTACATGGGTCACCTTCTAAATAATTACCAATAGTTGCTGTTGTTTTAATGGGAAATATAAATTCAAGATTCCAGCCAGCCCTCAGACAGAACCTGGCAAAGCATGGAGCTCAGCCAGACAGTGAGCTCCAGGCAAGCGGCATGGAAAGCTGGCTAGAATCTTTAATGGGGATTGTTATTCATTAATTACTCCTAAAACCTTTACAACATAACCATAATCAATTAAATTTCTGGGATTCAATTATAAATTAAAGATTCTAGCCAGCTCAGACAGAAAGGCAGCCAGCTAAGGATGCGTAGGCAGCTAGACAGCCAAGAAGTACAGCCAGGAAGTACAGCCAGGAAGTACAGTGGCTGGAGTCTTGATTTTTTTTTAAACCCCCTAAAATTAAGGGAAACCCTTAACATAGGTGTTTATGGGATCTTCAAAATTCAAGACTCCAGCCAGCTCAGAAAGACCTTGCAGGCAGCAAGGCATGAGGGGTGGCTTTCAGACAGCCAGACAGCGTGGTGTCAGCAAAACATGCAGGCAGCTAGACCAGCCAGGCAGCTTGGATTTGGGGAGTAGGACTAGCCCCCCTAATACTAAACACCCCGGGATGAATTAGTTTTTAGTATTAGGGGGGAGAACCACAAATGGTAGGTTGATTTTTGAATTGTTTTTTAAAGGGGATCAATTAAAAGTCAAATTGGCCAAACTGAAATTTTCGGAAATTGGAGATGGATGCCTGTTTTTAGTATTAGGGGGACGTTTAGTATTAGGAGGAAGGGATTAATTTAGTTTTTTTGGGTGTTGCTTCTGGATGAGTGTTAAAATGGAACCCTGTGATTGGAGTCATCGTTTTCGGATATTCTGGGAGTTTATCGTAAATATTCAATTATTTGTTTGTGGCTTGAATGTTTCTTCAGTTTGTGTTAGAGGTTCATTTGGGATTGTAACCCCCGCTTGACTATATAATAGTATGACTGGTCGGTGGTTCGGAACATTTTTTATTTTCCCATATACTGGGAATGTCATCATCCCAACTGACGAACTCATATTTTTCAGAGGGGTAGGGCTCAACCACCAACCAGCTGATTTCGCTTGAGGTTGAAACACCAAATCAGATTTTGGGAAGGGCACCCGGTAATCATGGCCATGGACCCGGGTGATTCCGACAACTTGAAACAGACAAGGTCCATATTGGGCCCCGTCAGATGACTACCTGGAAGATACACAAAGGAATACAGCCAGGTAGATAAACTGCTTTTGGAGTATGTATTCTTATCCAGTTGCAACAATGGAGATTTACTGGGATCCAATGGCATTTAGTTAGCTAAGTTGGTTTTATAACTATATAAAATTAGGCTGTGTGCTAGATATATCTACAGACTGTCATATATCAGTGGTTGATAGGGTTATAAACTGACTTGTAAATCTGAGTGGCACCACCTTGGAACGTTCTTCGTGTTTCGTGTGGAGCTGTCGTGATCTCGGTGTGTTATTGTTTTCCGGTAGACAAGCAGCAAAAAACAATACCATAAACCACCCGTGACTGTTGTTTTTTGTTTTTTCTTAATATATCACTTATAGAAATGGTGATTCGGCACAGGGTTTATTGTTTTACCCACATATGCATAAATCATTGTTGATGCATGGTTTAGTGGGTTTTACCCACATACGAAACAAATATGCATCAACAATGATAACCAAAGAAATTTGCATAGGGTTTCATTGTTGATGCATATTTCAAGCCTACTTGGGACGATGATCCCAAGGGATTTTCCACCTTGGCGGCTGAGGCATGATTACTATCAGCACCTATTGTGAACATCACAAAGAGGCTGGGGGTTCCATACGTTAACCGTTGGAGCCAGGTGTATGTGGTCTCTACACTTGACTCATTATAGTTGGGGATCCCAACTATAGTCACTATAGTCACTATTGTAAAGGTACTGCATTAGTAAAAGCTGTGATTGCAAGACATGATTGATGAGAATCTGTTCCAGAATCCTCTGGCTGGGTAGATCCCAGCCAGGTCCCTACTGCACCCTGAAGACGTGGGTGGCTCAACTACAAACTAGTTAACTAGGTCTGGTGTGGATGTTATTGAACATCCCGGTCATTGACATCAGTTTGCGCCCCCCCAATGGCTCGCCTTTAGCCTCAGGCTGAACTCTTGGAGAGGGCGATGGAGAGAGAGAGAGAGAGAAAGAGTTTGCCCGGTATATTCTCATTCTTTTGCAGGTGGACCATGAGGGAGGTTAAACTCAACAACCAGTGTAAAGGGATTGAAACTCCCATGCTTGCTACTCTAATCACTATGAGTAAACTCCAATAACTGCTAGTCAAACATTTTATGATATGTGTTTGCTAGGTAGATCCAGTTGTTGCCCAAATCGTAGCTAGTTCAATCCAGATTCAATCCACATGTTCAATGCTACCCGGTGACGGGCCATACCCGGGCCATGGGAGCCCAGGAGATACGAAGAGCTTCCCAACCACATGATACAGGAGATACATGGATACACACACACACACATATTTACATTATATATATATATAGAGCTGGTTTCAAAAGTTCTTCAGGTTCCATATGTGAAAAATTCAGCATTGTGGACCCCACATGTTCATATATTTTCTTCATAATTCGTCATTGATAATATGGTAACATCATGTAACATCTGATAATATGGGAACCACTACTTCACCACCATTTTCACCACTGTTTCACCACCGTTGCTATGAACTGATCACCCTTGGTGCCGCCATGGCAGGCCATTTCCCACGTCCTCGGTGCTGACTGTGAACAAAGTTGCCGCCAAAGCCGTGCCGATGGAGCCGAAGAAGGTCGGGGAGCGGATGCGCTGGACGGACGACTCAACTCATTAATCAATATAGATTTAGTGGGATTTAATGGGATTTAATGATCTTGAAATCACATGAAATCACTATCAATATCAACATAAATATCAATGTAAACATTAATCCCAAGTAGGGTTGAAATATATCAACAATGAAAAAGACATATGTAAACAATACTGTGGTTAAACACATTAACCATCCCCAGCATGTTTAACAATATATTACATCCCAATGTGGCTAAAACAATCCCGTTGGCATCATCCCCCAGTCATCAGCATTTTTATGGCTGGGATTCAAACCATCAAAGATGGGGTGGAAAAAATGACTTTGTTTTAACCACATTAGATTTAGTGGGATTTACCCTCTGGTCATTTAACATAGCTATTGAAAATGGCCCATTGGTAGCTGATTTACCTATTAAAAATGGTGATTTTCCAGTTTGCAAACTGTAAGCGTTTACCAGAGGGTAATGGAATTTAATAATCTTGAAATCACTATCAATATTAATAAGTCATAAATGAGAATATGAAAAACTAAGATCCATCAATATCAATGGCAATGTACACTTTATAAAATGAGTCGCAACATCAATATGAATCAATATATTATTCCAATCAGTATAATCAATCAATGAATCTAAATCTAATCGAAGGAAGTTTAGAAGTCAAACTTCCGACAATATGGAGAGATGAAAAGCAGAGCAGGGCAGAGGCAGAGAGAAGAGGAAGATTAGAAGAGAGAAGATCAGAAGAGAAAGAGTAAGAAGACAGAAGATACAGATGCGCGAAAAG